CCTGAGGCATTTGTTCTCAACTTGCAGCTTTCCCAGGTTGACCTGGACTCCAAGAGTGTGAGGTAGCAACACAATCTTGGCAATCGGGAACAGCCACCAATTCTGTCTCCACTGTGACCCGCGTGCAGGATCATTCGTGACTCGCAGGCTCCCGTCGCAGCCGCAGAAAGCATCAAGCTGTCCGGTTGAGAAAGATTGATCCCACTCAGCCTGTTGCAAGTTGTTGTTGGGACCCTGAAGACATGACATGAGATGACATGGCTCATTTGGGAGAAGTGCAACCCCATATTTTATATGTTTGTGTCATATGACATTGAATAATTGTCGAGATTGTCGGTCAAGGTTGGAGGCTACCGTCAGTTGTGCGCTCAGGTTGTGTAATGCTGGACAGTACATGCAATTCTAGTAATCGTGTAGCAAGTCACAGCAAGGTTTTCGCCGCATTAAGTCGCACTGTTGTAGTGAGCGTGTCAGGATAAAGTTGCAATGTCTTCATAACTTTACTACAAAACTTGCATTATCCACTTCAATTGCTTTGATATAATTTTGACTGCAAATTCTACCGGAATTCCTAGCAAACTTTTGGCCCAAATCCAAAGCCACCCAAGCCTGAACACCTCAATAGTAGCAGCTGGCCTGTGTTGTCTCAGATGCGACAGACAGGGGAGAGGCAGACTCCTTGACTCTCAACTGTTTTATTTCTCTATTTTTTAAAATCCGCTCCAGCTTTGTGAGACGGTGAAGGCTCCACAGGAAAAGGGAATCCAAAAGCATTCCCGGGCACAGCCGAGCTGAGAGTTGTACCACTGCCTAAGACGTGCCAGGCGCCATGTCTCGGCCACAACTGTCTGGCAACCGCCCCTTGAGCGAGGCTGGCAAGAAACGCAATCCTTGATCGAGGAACAGGACCATTGATCAGAGTAGCAGTATGTATGTACGACCACAATGTTGTGTATTCCCATGCCTTATCCTTGCTGTACATTTCTTTCAACCAATTCACCCCAGCACCGTTGGTCTTTCTCATTCTCTTGTGAGCGAAGCTTCCAGAATTATTCCGAGGCCGATCCTGTTATGGCTGGACTCGTGCAGGCAGAGAAGGCAGGAAAATGAGTAGAGTGGTGGCCACAGAATGAAACCACACATTTATGAAGCCACAGTCAGGAAACCCATTGCTTGGGACGCCCTTGTTTGTCTAGCTGTAGTGAGGGATTCACCCAATCTGGAGCTTGCTTCAAGGATTCTTTTTACTCATCTTCGGGGCTGTGAAGCTGGAGGATCAGCCTTCAGAAGTCTGCTTGTTGTGATGCCCGGAGGTCATTAACCCAAGCCTAATAGCATGGCCTCCAAACTACTAGCGATGGCCTCCAACCTAGAAGTGATGGCCTCCAACTTAAATGTCCTAGGTTTAAGAAACTTTAACAAGGACCTCAAAACCATTTTGCTCCTCGAAGACGAGAGGAGAGGCAGATGAAATGCATCGAGCTGATCGCATCAGAGAACTTCACCTCCCGTGCAGTGATGGAATGCCAGAATCCCGGAATCCCTCTCCTGCCTGCGTATTTGAAGGTTTTTTTGGATCTGCACATTTTTTGCAAGGACTGACTTGGGATGACGAATGAAATGTTTGGGCTTGCAGTGCAAGCACACAAGACTTCAATCAATTGGTGTCGACAAAATCAAGGCCATATATAGTCCTGAAGTGTGGGCATCAACTGCTTTGAGCTATGCGGAAGCGTATATATAGATGTTCTCAAGTGTTACACCTGGCAGCATCGGGTTTTATTTCTGATCAGCGTGGACCTCTAATCGCAGACTCACTGACTGACGCCAGAGCGTTATTGAGTGCACGTCCTGTGTCAATTCTCACACTCCCCGAACAAACCTAGCGGCCGAGCCAGCCTAGCATTCTGGCAAAGAGATCATGGGACAAGCAGTTATACAGTTATACATTAAGTTATACAAACAATTTTACGAGTCCCCAAGTCTTCAATCAGGCCTGGGCTCATGCCTTACCAACAAGTACTCTGAGGGTCAGCCTGGCGCACGCGTGGACCTTAGAAGCTTTTCTGCCAGATGACCATGGATGACCGGATGACTAAACGAAGCTTGGGTGCACAAAGAAACGACAGGTCATGCACATGCTTCAGTTGAGTTTGAGGCTACATTCCAGCAGGTTCTTGGCTCCAAAGGGTCGGTTTGCCGCAACCTTTTTTAAGAGCAATGGCCTCCAACCTACTAGCGATGGCCTCCAACCTACTAGCGATGACCTCCAAGCAATGGCCTCCAACCTACTATATAGTGAATGCCTCCAACCTAATAGCAAAGGCCTCCAAAAGGGACTAGGGACTCTACTTGCCAAGATGCCCGCACTGTTGAGGATACTATGGTGGCAATGAGGTCATTGACAAGGTACCTTGGATGCCGGAGGATGAGGATGTTAAAAAGTAGAAGTGGTATCTCTATGCTTCTGGGGCCCTTGATTTTTCATGCACCAATGGCGAACCGATCTCTTTGGGATACTTTGTTCAAAACGGCAAGTCACATCAGTAGCAAGGTTCAGTTTCAACGCTGTGCTCTCAATAGCCAGTTTGATTTCTTGTGTTGCTTGCACGTGGTGACAGACTCGGAGGTTTTCACGTAACGATGAGTTCATGCACACATGTAACGCAAACAGACACACGACTAACCCTTGCACGCTTGTAAACCTGCATCAACACACACACATACCTTCAAGATCCTTCACGCTTTGCCCATGAACTCACAGCCTATCCTTTGATCATCAACTTGGCCTTGAGAAAAGTTCCAGTGCAATGGTTCTGGAATCTCTACGCTTTTCGCGAGTTGGGGGACTAGAAGTCTTGGATCAGCTCCTGGTCCCTACAGAGAAGAAGTATATTCCAGTAAAGGGCTCGGAGGATGCATGGAGAGTGGTACGCAGCATGCAGGTGCGCGGCGCCCCTCTCTTGGCCATGGTTTCTGCTCTAGGCTTGGCTGTGGAGGCCCTAGAAAGGGCAGAGAAAGGCTCGGAGAAAGAGGCTCCGGGGGCTCTGCAGTGGTTGAAGGAGCGAATGACTTATTTGAAGACTTCCCGACCCACCGCTGTGAACCTATTCAACACAATGGATGCCCTCCAAGAGGTGGTCGAACATGCTGCAGCTTCTGGTAGCAGTGACAAGCAAATCTATTACCGCTATGTGGAGGCTGCAGAACGAATGCTCGAGGAAGATGTTCAAGCCAACAAAGCAATTGCTGACGCAGGTGCCGATGCTATCCTTGCAGCGATGAAAGCTAAGGGTCGAGAGGGCCAGGCTCGAGTGATGACTATTTGCAACACTGGAGCCCTTGCCACTGCGGGTTGGGGCACTGCCTTGGGAGTGCTACGTACGCTGCATGCAAGAGGAAGGCTAGAGCGAGCATTTTGCTTGGAGACAAGACCCTACAACCAGGGCGCGAGGCTTACTGCCTTCGAGCTCGTTGAAGATGGTTTGCCTGGAACCTTGATTTGCGATTCCATGGCAGCTGCCTTGATGCAATGTTTTGGCGTGGATGCTTGTGTGGTGGGGGCTGATCGGGTTGTTGCAAACGGAGACACCGCCAACAAGATCGGCACCTATTCTTTGGCAGTGCTTTCCAGACACCACGGCGTGCCATTTTACGTAGCGGCACCTTTGACAACTCTAGATGTGAAATTGACGCTTGGACTTGCTCAAAACTGATATACAATTTGCCTTCTCGTTACTGTATACCTCAGAATCTACTGGGTTAGTTTTGACGAAGTCATTTACTTTGTTTCTGCCAATCTCTGAAATGAAGGAAAGATGGCTCTGAGATCCCTATTGAGGAGCGGCCAGATGAAGAGCTATGCTCATTGAAGCTCGATGGCAAGAGTTTTCGCATTGCAGCACCTGGCATTGGCGTATGGAATCCAGCCTTTGATGTCACACCGGCATCACTGATCTCTGGCCTTGTCACGGACCATGGACTCATTCCAAAGCGCAGCCAGGATTTTGATGTCACCTCCTTCGTGTCAAACAAAAAGCGGAAGACAAAAAGCTGAAGCAGCGATGCACAGCGATAGATTTCGGACAAAAGGAACGCTTTGAGAAAAACCGTCGGGAACGCTGTTGAGTTGCCTTGCAGGTGCTTCTCTGACTTACAAAGGGCAGACAGAAAACACATGACCATACTGCAAAAAGTACTTGCTGTTCATGCTTTCCACACAAGCTTGAGCCAAACCAGGTGCAAGAGAATGTTGAGTCCCCCCAAATCATCCCAAATCTAGGAAACAAATCAATCATTTGAGGGGTTCTTCTGTGTCCAAGCTGATAGATGAGTCAATGAGTGCTTTTGTTTGCACCTAGCTAGGACCTAGCAACTTGTTAGCTCTCACTACGACCTGCCCCCAAAAAATTGATTTGTCTTTACTTTTCGCGATCCACTTGAGGTAGAGAATCTCTGCAAGGAGCGAGCCTTGAAGGCCTTTGGCCTGGACGAGAAGGCGACGAAAGTCACAACCATTTTTTTCCAGAAGGAACGGGCAGGCCAGGAGGTAGGAGACAGATGGAGGTAGATGGAGGTGGCTAGTAAGTAGTAAGCCGAAAGAGTAGTACCGTGAAGCTACTAGTTGCTGGACGTACCTAGTGCTCAGATTCTGCAAGGAAACAGAAGCTTCTAGGTTAAAGCCCTTTGCATGACACTTCAAGGGTTCCTACACTTTAGGGAAATCCATCCAAGCCATCTACTAGCAGTTCGAGTTGCACAGAAGGGGCACCCATCTAAGTTTCCCTAAAAATCTAGGAACTAAATGAATAGTGCTTGAGCTATCCTGCGTCCTACCCAGGAGCGTCCTGTGCCTACTAGCTACCTTTCCCTTAATTAAGTAGGCGCCTACTTATTAAGTAGGGAGGGGGGGAGGGTAGCGGGCTCTTAAAAAAACTTGCTAAGTTTGATCACGATCAAATGCTGCAACCGGGGCCGAGAGAACTGTGGTTGGATAGCGGATGGCACGGGGAGAGAATTCACACCAAGCATCTCAATTCACCAAGCAATCGCGCCGCCAGGAATGGGGAGTGAATGTCCAGCCATATTCAGGAAGCCCGGCCAATTTTGCGGCTGGGAAGCCAAAGAATTCGAGAGCAGAGCATTTTGACATCCTACATGAGCAACCACTGGTCCAAGTCAATCTTCTTGCTGTATACTATATACTTGATCGAATCGCTCATTTCAGACATGTCATGAGGATAGCCTTTGGTGCTAACATGCTCCGAGCAGGTCTACACGGCTCTGCTGCCACCCCATGCTCGCGTCATGGGCCTTGACCTTCCTAGTGGCGGGCACTTGACCCATGGTGGGGGCCTCAAACACGTCGAGGATGGACGAAACAGTGAGACCACTTCAAGACTTTTTGCCAGGTGCTTTGTTGTCTTTTTTGGATCTTTTTGGACAAGTCTCTGTACATACATTGATTCTCCATTGATCGGCAAAAGTCTACATTCCCGCGAATGATGCTAATGTGTGTCGAGAGCGGCTGCCGAAGTTACTGTAACTTTTGCGTGACGACCAATCAAACAAGAGTCCCTGGTCTGTCCATGAGTAAAACCATGTAAAACCTGTTTCTTGAACCGGTCCTAGATTGAGATTAGCATCTGAGGCTATTACACAGCCAAGAAGAAGATCAGTGCCACGTCTTGTGCTTGACTTCTATGGATTCGATGGTTCTGGACATCTCCAATCGTCTGGTTGGAGACCAGACTCTGAAGATCTCCAAATCTGGTTTGTGTCATCTTGATTTCTTTTCTAGTGAGCTCAGGTCCATCTATTTTGAGTCTTTGCCCTACCGGGTTCACCCCGAGACCGGCCTCATTGACTTTGACGAGCTCCGGAAGACGGTGGGGTGGCTGTGGGTGGGCATTAACCACTAGGATAGTGATGATCCATTTGGAACAACCAAAAGGTCATCAACCACTAGCCACCCAAGTATGTCACCATTTGATGAATTCTAATTTGTGATTTTCCGTTTGTAATGTGCAGAAGCAGATTCAAGGTGTTGCTTGTCAACCCATGGAGATGCCATGACGATGAATCATGCGTTCGCATTGTTCTTTTTTTCACCGGGTAAGCCTTGGCGCTTGGTGAGGCCCTGGTCTTCCGCCCTGCCATGATCCTTTGCGGTGCCTCTGCCTATCCTCGGGTGACTTGTCTGAGATTGCATAGAAACAGGTCTCTTCAACTCTACACGATGCAGGCCTATTGTCGGAAGTCACTTTCTTTGGTGCACCCTCTCCTTTATGCAATATCTCAAGGTCTTCAACTAACTACAGGGTATATAATATAGTAAAAAGGAAACCGCAGAATACACATATACAGTAACGGTATATAAACCTTATATGCATACTGCCATAGACTCAAAGGTTGTATTATGTTGTATTTGCATGCTTTGTTTGGACTGCCAGAATGTATCTTCATATACAATGCAAATGGTTCTGGATGTGCGACATCTACATCCATTGGCTTGGCGCTTGCAGGTGGTGGACTTCGCCAAGTTCCGGGAGATCGCAGACGAGGCTCTCTTTTGCGGCCAAATGGCGACAAGAACATCCGCTCATGAGTGGATTTTGATCCAAAAGAGGGTGCAACACGTTCTGGCAGTGCTTTGCCACGTTGAATATCTGGCAAGCAGAGAGAGAGGGAGAGAGAGAGAGAGAGATGCTGCTCACATCAGCGAGTTGTCCTTGGCAAGCTTTTGGAAAGCTGATCACATAAGATCGATTCTCGGGTCATGAACGGTTGAGATGAGCAGCCGATTGTGAATCTCTATGAGCATCTCATCACTTTTTTGCATGAAGACTACTCACTAATCCTTTTAGGTGCTTTCAAAGTCATTGCCCGGATGCTGGGCCTCTCACGAAGTGCACACTTTTCCGGCAGGTGGGTGCCTACCTCATGGCTGATATTGCTCACATCTCTGGCCTTGTGGCCACTGGTGAGCATCCATCGCCCTTCCCTTTTTGTGATGCCTCTTGGTGACGAAAAGGGATGACGTGGTCTGTTTGTGAGGGTGTCCTGGAGCATTGCAGGGATGCCTGGGGTAAAGTGTAAAGCCGCAGACTTTCACTCTTTTTTTTTTGTCGAGCTGACTCCATGTAATGTGGCAAACGTAATTCAGAAAGATCCAAAGGCCCTTCTTTGGTGCTGAGGTGGTGACCACCACCACACACAAGTCGCTTCGAGGCAATGCGCAAAGATTACAGTACATTGAGCAGAGAAAATATGAGACCTTCTTGGAATGGACGCACTGGTTTGGATTAAGAACCACTTATGTCTCATGCCCTGAAGCTACGTCGCTCCAAAATGCCACCAAAGGAATACAGGACATGGGGTTGGTCCATGCTCGGACCCTTCTTCGTCTTGGCAAGATGGGCAGCTACTGGTGTAGGCCCTCGTGCTGGCATGATCTTCTTCAAGTACACCGACAAGCTGCCAGACATCAAGGACCTTCAAGGATGCCTGTCTACCTGGTCTACCTAGCTTGCAAGTCACCAGCTCACCTGAGGTTCACAAACTAGGTGCGCGGTGCGCAGCACTTGAAATGTCAGCTGTTCACGAGCCTGACAGGATCGCATTGACATGGCTGTGTTCCCAGCCCTTCAGGGAGGTCCTCACAATCACCAGACGCTTGTCCTGAATATAACTTGTACATTGCTGGCGCAATCAGTGTCCACAATTTTTTGGTACCCCGTTTACACCGTCTACACCGTTTACACCGTCTACACCGTCTACAGCGTAACCAGCGCAACCAGTGTAACCAGGGTAACCAGGGTAACCAGCGCAACCAGTGTAACAGTGTAACCAGCGTAACCAGCGTAACCAGCGTAATCAGCGCAGCCAGCCACCGCCAGCGTACCAGCGTACAATCACTCCCGGACACGCTTTGCCACGTCGCTCAACTTGTATGCTGCAAAAGCCTGTTTAACCGTTGTCCAGTAATCCAGTATATCTCACCATGTCACCAACTTGCCGTGCTGCCTTTTTGTTCTGTAGGAAGGCCACTCTGCCAGGTGCCCAATGTCGATGCTTCAATCACTTTTAGGAGCCAGGACGCTACTAGGGGCTCCTGGCCTTACTACCAGGAGCAAGACGCTACTAGGGGCTCCTGGCATCGCTACTAGGAGCAAGGACGCTACTAGGGGCTCCTGGCCTTACTATCACGAGCAAGAAGCTACTACGGGCTCCTGGCATCGCTACTAGGAGCAAGGACGCTACTAGGGGCTTCTGGCCTTCCTACCAGGAGCAAGAAGCTACTACGGGCTCCTGGCATTGCTACCAGGAGCAAGGACGCTACTAGGGGCCCCTCGCCTTACTACTAGGATGAAGAAGCTACTGGGGGCTCTAGGAGCAAGGACGCTACTGGGGGCTCCTGGCCTTACTACTATGACGGGCCCCTGGCCTTTCTACCAGGAGCAAGAAGCTACTAGGCGCTCGTGGCATGGCTACTACGAGAAGGACGCTACTAGCTGCTCTTGGCCTTACTACTAGGAGCAAGAAGCTACTACAAACTCCTGGCATCGCTACTGGGAGCAAGGACGCTACTAGGCACTCCTGGCCTTACTACTAGAAGCAAAGCTACTAGGGGCTCCTGGCATTGCTACTAGGAGCAAGGACGCTACTAGGGGCTCCTGGCCTTACTACTAAAAAGCAAGAAGCTACTAGGGGCCCCTGGCATCGCTACTAGGAGCAAGGACGCTACTAGGGGCTCTTGGCCTTACTAGTAGGAGCAAGAAGCTACTACTGGCTCCTGGCATCGGTACTAGGAGCAAGGACGCTAGTAGGGGCCCTTGCTACTAGGAGCAAGAAGCTACTAGGGGCTCCTGGCATGGCTACTACGAGCAAGGACGCTACTAGGCTCCTGGCCTTACTACTAGGAGCAGGAAGCTAGTAGGGGATCTGGCATCCCTACTAGGAGCAAGGAGGCTACTAGGGGGGTACTAGACGCTACTAGGGGATCCTGGCCTTACTACTGGGAGCATGAAGCAACATCACTACTAGCGCTACTAGGCTCCTGGCCTTACTACTAGGAGCAAGAATCTACTAGCGGGTCGAGGCATCGCTACTAGGGGCTCCTGGCCGTATTACTAGGAGCAAAAAGTTAGTGGGGGCTCCTGGCATCGCTACCAGGAGCAAGGACGCTGCTAGGGGCTCCTGGCCTTACTACTAGGAGCAAGAAGCTACTAGGGGCATCGCTACTATGAGCAAGGACGCTACTAGGGCTCCTGGCCCTACTGCTAGGAGCAAGAAGCTACTAGGGGCTCTAGGAGCAAGGGCGCTACTAGGGGCTCCTAGCCTTACTACTAGGAGCAAGAAGCTACTAGGGGTGCTGGCATCGCTACCAGGAGCAAGGACGCTACTGGGCGCTCCTGGCCTTACTACCAGTGAGCAAGAAGCTACTACTGGCTCCTGGCATCGCTACTAGGAGCAAGGACGCTACTAGGGGCTCCTGGCATGGCTACTACGAGGAAGGACGCTACTAGGGGCTCCTCGCCTTCCTACTAGGAGCAAGAAGCTACTAGGCTAGGAGCAAGAACGCTACTAGGGGCTGCTGGCCTCACTACTAAAAGAAGCTACTAGGGTCTCCTGGCATCGCTACTAGGAGCAAGGACGCTACTACTTACTTTTATATAGTGGTATTTTTGTATTTTTTTGGGGGGCCGTTTTTCCCTCAAACTAAAAAAGTCAATTTGGATGCAAAATCAATTTTCAATTCTCGTTTACCTTTGAAGAAATGTGTTCATGTCATGCTTCACCTAAGCAGCAGCGCACAGAGGCAAAACACACGCTAGATATTAATAATCTATCATTCACTGCACCGTTTTTGGAATGTGGTTGCTGTTTCAAAGCTCTAACTTTTCAATGAGCACCTCAAACTCGTTTGAGCCTTCCACATTCCTCGTCTACGCACAAGAAATTATTTTTCACATTTGTGAAGATATTTGGCTTGCTCGTTGCTGCTTTGGGCCATTAATCTCACCTAGTGACTAGTGTAACTTCAGGGTGCGTCGTCCCAGGTGCCCAGGCCTTTGGCTGCTTCGGCCAAGGCCTGTGCACTTGTCATGACGCTATGTGAGAAGGTTTCTGCGTACAAGACATGGAAGCGCTTATGCGACAAGTGGACTCATGAGTTTCTGTTTAGTTTTGAGCCCACATGATCCTGGAGGTGGGTCATGGCTGTCAGACCAAGAGCAACCGTGGAACATTGGTTGCAAAGCATGCAGCTTCAGCAAATGCAGCAGTAAGTTCGCTATGTATGCTGTCAGAGAGGCAGGCTCCCTGCAGCATGAGAACTTAAAAAAGCATACGCGCACCAAGGCTCGCAAACTCTCAATGGGTGGCACTACGCTTGGCCGCTTGGCTTCCTGGCTGATGCGGCCAGAAGCTATTTTGGCAGTGAGTCGACTAAGGTCAGCTTCCTGGCTGATGCGGCCAGAAGCTTTTTAGCAGTGAGTCAACTAAGGTCAGCTATGGGGAAAACAATCCAAGTTTTGCACCAAAGCACTGGTTTTCCTAACTTCAGTCAAGTCGTCATCCATGTCCAGCTCGGTATAGTGTTTGCTTTCAGCTTGGGGCTCAAATTTGAGGCTAAGTAGTTAACACTTAAAAGAGTTGCGTCCCAATGGCTAGCTCCTTTGCAGCGCTCATGCCTGTGACAAGTCGCGCTGAGAAAAGTTCACACGAAGAAACTCAGTTTCTGCACTTTGCAACCATGGAGCCGTCAGAGGTTGCTTCTGGCTTTTCCTTTGTTCCAAGTCCTTGACCGGGTGGAACGCACAAGAAATGCCCTACTCTGGACTTGGCAACAATTGCCTGAAGAAGCAGCGGACGCGTTGGAAGACATTGTTTTTGCTTTGGATATTTGCACCACAATCGCGTTGTCCGACCTTCACTCGCGACCAAAGCACAGAATCATGACTGCTCTTCCTGCGCGTGCGCCAGGCAAGACACTGGCATTGAATAACTATGTCAAAAATGACTTTTGGCACGCTACTGAAGTGATGGCAGCATTGTCACAAAGTCGGGCGACTCACGACCGCTTCGACTGGGACACTATGTTGGAGACTTGGTTTGGGGATTTTGCCTTTGCAGTGCAGATCGCACCTGACTCCCTTTTTTTGAAGACTGGCAGCTTCAAAAGTGGGATCGCGTGGCCTAAGGCTGCAGCACGCCCTTCCAAAAAGAGCAGGCTGGGCTAACTTCGTCGCAGCAGCCGTTACTTCCATTGGCTGCTTCGGCCAAGGTTGCAGGGTTTGTTGTAGGCTTGAGGTTAAGTCACTGGCTGCTTCGGCCGGGGCTTACTAATTAAAAAACCTTAGAAATTTGGAAGCGGGCAAGGCACGAGCTGACTTCTCAGCTCGAAGGTGAAAAAAATCGACGACAGCGCTTGAAAGGAGAGGGCGGTTTGACCTCTCCACCCGAACTTCGGGAACGTTCTTGAACCTGGAAAGGAGAGGGTTATGAGAGGGCGAAACAAAAATACCACTATATAATATAGTTTTGCCCATAGTTGTCCCCTCACTGCCCTCTCCACCCGAGGCTCGGGAACGTTCTTGAACCTCGAAAGAAGAGGGCGATTTGCCCTCTCTTCTCAGACTTCAAATTGCTCGTTTGCAGCCGTTTTTCACTCAAGTGAAGCAAGTTTGAAAGCTTTAGCTGCTTCGGCTAAGCTACTACAGCGGCCAAGACTCCATTACGTTGGCAGCTCAACAGGTGACCTCATTCAGGGCGTGGCCCTTCCTAAGCTCACTGATGAATGGAGCATGAAGTGGTCGGAGAAAAAGGATCTGTATGGCAAGCGCCACTTGATCGCGGTGGGCGGGCGCACAGAAGGTGGAGAGGATGAGCCAAAAATCAACGACCGAACCAAAGATTTGCCCGAGCCTGTTTGCTACTTCTCGCTACCGCGTGAGCTGATGGAGGAGCTCCTGCACACCTTCTATGCCAAGCTGGTGCTGGACTTGAGCCCAGCCAATGGAAAGTTGGCGTGGGCATGCGTCAAGACTAGGACTGCGTACATGGGCATCTGCTACATTGACACCCATGTCAAGCTGATGGAAGAACGGCTCCTGGACCTAATGAAGGTGAGCGTGAAGGAGACTGCCTCGCCATTGTTCAACAGTGCCTACGCGCAAGCTGTGGGGTCAACGACTTCTTCATCGCAGCCAGCGATCCCGAAGCCCAAGCCACGCCCCAAGCCAAAGGTAAAGTCGGCTCCCAAGCCAAAGCCAGCTCCCAAGCCTAAGGGAAAACCAAAGGCGGAGGCAAAGTCAGAGCCCAAGTCGAAAAAGCCGCGTCTCGAGGCAGAGCAGGCAGATGACGACGACAATGAAGAGGAGGAAGAGGCAATGGAGGACGATGTTTGGGATCCTTTGGACGGCTGCTTCGGCCAGGGCCAACATCGTCTGCTGGCTGCTTCGGCCAGCGTTTTTTGAAACTTGCTGGCGCGGAAAAATTATTAGGTGTCTGGGTCTACAAGTTGCAAGTAAAGGATAATTGAATGTTTTGGCCCAAGGGAAAGCGTCCTTCAAAACGTGACTTTTAGTTGAATTTCACATTGCAATGCTGCGACGTCAAAATGCGCAGTTTTTCCACGATGATGGCAATAATGGAAAGGGTTGTGGCGAAACAGCTCATTTGGTTCAACAGAAACTGCTCAAGTCTTACCACCCTTGGAAGCTCTTGCAAAAATACAAATGCTTGAGCAAAAGCCAATGGCCACAGGCCCACAGACTTGCTACACACATTCTCATGGAGCTTATTTAGAGGCAGGTCGCAGCTGGGTGCGCAATCACTTGCAATCTGAAGACTGGGCGCTTTAAATTAAAGTGTGGCAAGCAATGCTAATTAAACTAGGTTTCCCACAGACTGTCGCCATGTGGCTGCTCCGGCCACTGGCGGCAGCCTGTGCGTGCGTGAATGAGGGAGCAGTGCAAGTGCAAAATGACTAGCCCTGCGCTATTTTCAAGTCTCGTTTTCTCATGTGAGCTTTCTCGTGGAAGCTATTGAATTTTATTTTCACCCAATGTATGTGTAAGTGAAAGATTTTCAACAAGACCAAGATAGTACACACACCTGAAGGGGAAAATGTGATCGCAGGAATCAAACCACTTGGGAGGAGGAACTGATGAAACATAATGATGGCGTGCATCTTTGCCTTTTAGTGTTTTTGCGGTTCAGTCACCACAAAAATGTTTGACATTTATTTTCTGTTCTCGTTTTTGCAGCTCTTTCACTTCCCATGAAAACAGTCAAAAGCAGCAAAAAAATACAAAATTATCACTATATAAAAGTAAGACTAGGGGCGGCTGGCCTCACTACTAAAGAAGCTACTAGGGTCTCCTGGCATCGCTACTAGGAGCAAGGACGCTACTAGGGGTTCCTGCCCGTACTACTAGGAGCAAGAAGCTACCAGGGGCTCCTGGCATCGCTACTTGGGTCTCCTGGCATCGCTACTAGGAGCAAGGACGCTACTAGGGGCTCCTGGCCTTACTACTAGGAGCAAGGACGCTACTAGGGGCTCCTGGCCTTACTACTAGGAGCAGGAAGCTACTAGGGGCTCCTGGCATCGCTACTAGGAGCAAGGACGCTACCAAGTCCGTCCTGCGGCTTTGAGGATTGGCGGACTGGCAGCCCAGCTTCTGGAAGTGAACACCCCTGAGTTCAAGGAGCGACCCACTCAGACAACAACTTGGGCGAAGACAAACCGTTGGGTAAATGGAGAAAGCAAGACGAGACACGACGGACAAACACATGAAAAAAACATGTGCTGTGCAGTTGCGCTGTCGAAGGAGTACTCCAAGCAGGTCAAGGCGAATGCGAACTCCCTGGCTGAGATCTTGAAATCCAAGGGTGCCAAACTTAGATGGGAGAACCAGGCGACTGAGGTGCCTGCTGTGGTTGTCGGAACAAGGGTCCTGCATTGTGGGATGGTTCTTTCTGCTTGAAATGATAATGCCCTGATTGTGGGATTGGTGGACTGAATCGCACAGTGACATTTGGAGATTCAGCCTTTGGAAGCAGTCTTGGGGCAACAGGAAGCCAACATGACTGATGCTACCCATTTCTCGTGGATTGAAGGCAGACAACCAATTCTACTGTGTTTCATGGCACTGGGTTTCTTGAGTTTCTTGTTGATTATGAAGTCTATTTGGAGCGACTATTGTAATATGTTGAGTAGCTGCCTTTGAACAAACCATACACTGTTCAACGAGACTCCCCCACAGATTCTCACATCCACCTGAGCTGATTTGGGCTGGCCTTGACCACCCGATACGTCAACAAGAGCCGATCGACCCTGGTCATACACTGATGGAGAACCTTTGGTGCTTTGAGCCACTCCTTGCTTGACAGGTCACAAGCTGGCCAGTGACGGAACCGACAACCACTTGGTGCTGTGGGACCGAGGGCTCAGATGCAATTGTTGACCGTTCTATTTGGCTCAACTTCAAGTCAATCTACTGTTGTCCCGAGCAAAACACGGCAAGACATGTTGGCGCTAACACGAAGAGACCCGAAGCAAGCTAGGACCTGCGGCCACATGGACTCACAGGTGGCAAGATTGAGAAGGCCAATCGGTGCAGCTTTGATCCTGCCATCTGCACCACCTTCCTCCATCCAACTACAGTGTCAGTGTTGTGAGCAAGCCTCGTGCGGTGTGACCACGTGTGATCCCTAGATGCCAACATAACCCATGTCAGTGCTTCAGTCTACCTCAAGCAGCGCAGTAGTGACCTTTGTATCACAGCGCGATTACATTTGGGCCAGGTCTGTGAACATTGCTCCATTACCTTAAACCGCAACGTTCCTTAGCCGCAGCAAAGCATGGGCCTGCTCCACTGGAATTTGATCAGCTGTTGGAGGGTCTAGAGAATTGATGTCCAAGGGTTTTCACTTGGATGAAGCAGAAAAGAGTGCCACTCCAAAAGACCAATTGGCAAACCTGCAAGCTGAATTGCTTGGCTTCCAAGATCTTTCTGCGATTTTTCTCGCACTTTGTTTGACCTTTTCGGATGTCGCAACGCACTCCCGTCATCTCTCGTCTCTCGTCGAGGCTGTGCATGGCGACGTCTCCGCATTGAGCCCAGGAGGTGTCCGTGTGGGTGCTCCCGCAGGGAGCCCAAGAAGGTCCGTGCCGTCTCCGGAAATCGCTGAGCCAAGTCCTGTCCCGGGGACGTCATGTTTTGGTTCACGGTTCCCGGACAGGTCTTCACGGTTCCCGGGATTTTTCAAGAAAGCAGATCAGGCAATTGACGCAATTGATGTGTTCTCCCCTCAAAGTGTAAGTGGCACTTGGGGCAGACTACGCAAACTTTTGACGAAGGGAGGAATTTCGTAGCAACAAGACTGGCCATTTTGGTGAAACGGTTCATGACATTATGTGACTTGTGTGTTCCATGAGTTTCTTTAACGTTCCCCAGAACGGCACGGCGACCACCTGGCCCTCCAAGGCCATGACCACCCGTGGATGCAGCACGGCAGACTTTCAGAAGATTGCTGACTTCTTGGATCGATGCTGCAAAATTGCACTTAAGGCCCCCCAAAGTTGTCACAAAAACGTGTGTTGAGCTTGTCACAGAAGTTGTGTGACCGAAGTCGTTGAACGGATCTGGATGCTGCAATTTCGGTATGACAGCTGGTGTTATTGTTTTGACCGTCTTCTCGCTATCGCGGCCGCTGTTGGCAGGTGCAGGAGGAGAAAGGCAAGAAACTGAAAGACTTCGAGGCAGTTTAGCGGATTGAGTTATTCCAAGAGGAGCAGAAACTCTGGATACTGTGTCCTCGCTCCTAGTAGTAAGGCCAGGAGCCCCTAGTAGCGTCCTTGCTCCTGAGAGGACATCAGAAACAGTGGGTTGGGTGAAGCCAAAAGGAACACGCCAAATAGTAGTTCTAGGAAGCTTTAGCTTTCAAGCAGAAGAGAAGACAACTTTCCTGTGGCATAGATGCATTCCGGTGGTTTCACCTATGCAAAAGACTCTTTGCAGGCCGCCTTGCCCGGCAACCCTGACATTGAGGCACCAAAGGGCGGGGCAAGTTGAGACCGGACAAGACAGCAATTTTTTTTTAATGTTGGCTGTTGCAAATCTCAGTACAGTACCGCTACAGAGGTTGAACCCCAAGCAGCTTTGAACTCCAGCACCTTCCAGCATCTTCAACAGCGTCCATTTCCGGTTTACCTGATTGAAAAACAAATGGTATATGATATATACTGCATACATACGGATATCAAAATTAAACGATATATATAACAAGTTAACAAGTGGTAGGGCGAGGAGTGGGGACCATTTGAACAACATTTTCCAGCTTCTCAGCTGGAGGCCTTGAAAAAGGAGGTGGAGGCTTGGGCCTCCACCTTCGGCTACCCGGGCCTTTGAGACTCCACAGGCCAGGCTTGAAAGTCTTGAGCTTTTCAGATGGCTTTCCCACTGTCAGAAGCGTTTGCACAAAGTCTTCCCATTGTCTTGTGCGAGACAAAAAGCATCAGCAATTGACCAGGACTAGGAAAGGCTTGTTGGTGATTTTGACGGGAAAGATGTAGCTCTTTGGTGTTCGGGACGTTGAACACAAATTCCCAGTGCTGCTTTTTTGTAGAGCAGGACGTCACTCTTTCTGTTGGCACTGCTGCAGGTTGAAGGTCTTGCTCCATTGGCCAATCTGTGTGAAAATCTTGTGTTTGCACTTGGAGAGTGCGCAGTTTTCGGGAAATCCGAGAGCAAACAGCCATTGCAGATATGTTCGGATACATGTTGGACAACATTTTGTGATCAACTGTTTTGCAAGAATCATGCGGCCATCACCGTTGGGCTTGCTTGGCAGAAACATTGCCACATCGCTACTAGGAGCAAGGCCACTACTAGTAGCTCCTGGCCTTACTACTAGGAACAAGGGTATTTCTACTAGGAGCAAGAACGCTTAGCCAAAACGATGCCTTCAGTCAGCAATACAACGCACTGTGAGGTTCAGGCTGGCACAGGTGAGGCTGTCGACAACTTGCATTCTCAGTCGACCGAAGTGGGTTTGCTCTCGGAAGGGTGGACATAGGTGGCCTGCAGTGGCCCTTATCTTGATGTTCGTCACGCTGAAGGTTGAAGGGTTCTAGAGCAGAGCTTGTTGTGCTTTGCTCTTTTAAATCCATTATCAATCAATTGAACACACATTTTCCGCAGTTAACCCTCATCGTGACGCCGCAGTCCTTGGATGTCGCCATGCCGGGCAAAGTTGCGCCTGCGGTGATTCGGAGAAAAGACTGATCTGCACTATGTTCAATGAGAGTTTGAGCGAAGGGAAAACGCAAGGTTTTTGAGAGCTGCGTGCCTTCGCTGTAGCTTTTGGGGATCAGGCCACTCACTAGAGCCCGTGGCACAGATGCGGTGGGTGTTCTTCCTACCGCTAGCGGGCGGGTGGCCATGGGACCTTAGTTTTTTCCTCGAGGACTCGGAGGACACCATTTTGGCTAGCACTCCGGAGGACCTCGAGGAGAACACGACCAACGGCACCGCTGGCCTGGATGGCTTTTGGATAGAGGGGTACATCTGGGCCTGGTGGCAAAGTGGTTACCAGGCGTATGACGCCGCAGCACCTGGTTGGTTTGGACTTCCTGGACGACCTGGACGCTTGCGCACTGAAGGTGGATGGGCCGGCTACTTCGCGGACGGCGTGGGAGTGCAGGCATTTGGAGAATGGTGGCCCTTGGTTGCCTACTTCACGGCCGGTATCCTCATGGTTGGGGCTTTGGGCGTTCTGGCTTACAGCTTGCACACCCTATCAGCACCTTTCCGAGCAGTTGGACGTGGTTTGCATTGTCTTGCCAGAGCCTGCTGCTGCTGTCGTAGACCACAAGGAGTCGAAGCACATCTTCCTAGCGCCCCACCTACAATGACTGAGGTCGAGTGGCATGGGCCCAAGACCGGGTGGCCAACGGAGACGCGCTACCTGCAACAGAGGTTGAAGGGAAGAGGAAGCCGTCGCCGGTTGAATGACGTGGTGATACGTCGTGATGGTCACGTGGCTCGCCTTCACCAAGAGGAGAGCCTGCTCAAGAGGATCGACAGTGATGGGCTTCGGGTGAAGTTTAGCAGCGTGGCTAGTTGCACATCACGGCAGTTCCGTAGGGACCTGGAAGATGCGGGAGAGGTGCACCTATGCCGGCAACTTGAATGCCGAGCTGAACACCCCCTACATGTTCAAGAATTCGCAGGCGTTGACCACGAGGCGCTCCTCGACTTGCACTGCTTTGCACACGGTTCATCAAGGTGGTTGCTGGGGATGATTTGGAGGAATGCCCTGCATTGCATTGGATGCATCTTCACGTTCACGAGGTGGATCTTCAAGCGCTGCTGCATGACGCCGGCAAGGAGGACGATTCGAGGAGAAGATGGACATGAGCGTGCGCTAGACCCAGAGTCAGAGTCAGAGGCGGAGGGCGACGAGGCCACATGCCAGGGAGTCCGAGTTGGGCTCATCCTATGCGCCCACTGGCGCCAGACGGATGCAACGACATGGCCACCGCAGAAGAGACCACCTTGCTGGACGAGGATGTGGAGGTTTCGGATGTTCGCCCCCCAAGGCCGGGGCAGTTGTGCAGAATTGCTCTGTGCACCCATCATCGGCAGGTCTACCAGAGCGCTGCAGCAAAACGCAAATGCGGAGTCCTCCTCTGCTACAAAGCATCCAAGGGAGCAAAGCATGGGGTACCGCTATGCTATGATCACCTCAGCGATCAACAGGGCTCGACAGCACGAAGGGACAGCCCACACCCCAATGGCATGTTGAGCGGATTTAGGAGACGCTTTGGACGCAGGCCTTCAGACAGAAGTCGCAGTCCCCAGCCCGAGAAGACCGATGCCGCGAACGACAAGCCTGAGACCATCGACAGCACACCCAGCAAGAGCGAGGAGAAACCTGGTCGTTCGAGGTCAGTGGACCTAGGCAAGGTGATGATCCCGTCACCACCGAGAGGCAGCCTTGAAGCCGAAGACATCCTTGGGACGCCTGTGTGGCTGAAAGTGAGAATCGGTGCTAGCGGGAATACGAGACGCTGGTACCAATGTCTTGGGAAGCTCAGTGGGTATGCACCTGGAGGAGTCCGTGGAGAAAGCCGCCTCGAGATCTACATCCAGTTCTTCGACCAGTCCGTCATCGTCGACCCGAAGTACCTGGAGGATTATGGCCACATCGGGAAGAACAACGACACGGAGGTTGAGAAGGCGAAGACGCTGATCACTGAGCAGCCTGAGGACGCAATCACTCTTGGCTTCGACATCAAGGGCTACATCGTGCCAGACACACTAGTTCCAAGACTGCAAGCCTGGGAAGGAAGAGAAGTCGGCAGTGGGCAACGCATTGACAGCGAGACCCTGGGATGCTGCAAGAGAGACCTCGGGTCCTTCATCGCCAAGCACAGCGCGGGCTATGTGAAGGGCGAAGTTTGGCCCAGCTGGCCAGCTGAAGCCGAGCTAGGACTCGACAAGCACCTGGAGGAGACCCCATTGCCAAGGAGCCAGCCTACACGAAGACGCAGCCGGAGCCGCAGCCATAGCCTGAGCAGGGCAATGAAGGAAGAGGATGATCGCAAGGTCAGGGAGTCCGCGACACCACCGACAAGCCATGCCGACGCCGAGCAGGAAGAAACAACTGGAGCGGCCATTGTGGAGGCCTATGAGACTGCGATCCAGACCGGGCAGACCCATGAGGAGGCGCTCGACACGGTTCGTATCATCTATGAGGTCGACGCAGAGGAGGTTAAGCAACACCTAAAGACCTATGTCAGAAGGCACTGTGGGACACAGGACGCGACGGTGAGCAGCTGCATCAATCTCCTGAAAAAGATGTCCAGCATGCCGGAGGTCATTGCCGCCCCCAGAGGAGATAGCAGGCCACAACCGCAGAGGCAAACTACGCCTGAGGGAGGCGCGACACTTTTTGGAGCACCCTTCAAGGAGCGCAATGACGGAGGTCTGATCAAGCCGGCAGGAGGCCACGCCAAGGTGAACCCGCTGCTGGAGGGGTCCGGGGTCGTCAACCAGCTCTTCGATTTAGGAAACCTGGACCGTGAGGATGAAGGGACAAGAGCCGGAGCAGGTGGAGAAGGCGAGGACAATTCTCACATCGCCGCCAGGGTGGTCCATGCTTTGGAGGGGCTTCGCAAGGCAACTGAGGGCGATCGGAAGAGCACTCCAGGGACAAGGTCATCGATTGGCAGCGAAGAGGCATTAGATGTGTACCTGGCCAGAGGATGCAACACATTGACGGTTGAGGTATGCCCGGATGCCACAGGGAAGGAGTTGTTTGACGCCCTGAAGCGCGCCTGCTCTCACGCCAAAGCAAAGCTCCAGCAGATCGAATGGCCATGCCTGGTGACTAATGGGATTGCCTATGGCTTAGCCGCCATGCACCACGGAGGTAAAGACCACACAACCCTTCCTCCCTGGGCCTTGAGCGTGGCACACGCCGTGACTGCGAGGCCAAGAGACTTCGACCAGTATGAGGCCCCGAAGGATGACAAGGTGGAACCCAAGCCCAGGTATCCGACGCACTTCGCAACCTGGCTCAAGCAAGCTCGGAATGAGATCAACATGATCGGGTCGGTCTTGGGACTGGAGCACAAGAAGGAGCGTCTAGCTGCGCTTGAACAGATCGAGAAAGCGCACGAGAAGGACGTGGATGTCTGGCCTGAGAACTACTGCTACAGCCTATGGGAGGAACTCAAAGCCGCATGGGTGGAGGAGCTCCGGGAGAGCCGCCGGAAATTATGCAGGATCCTCAACACTGACAATCCGAGGAAGGAAGATCTGAAGTTTGTGGCACTTGCACCTGGCAGCGGCTTCAAGTTTCCCAAGACCTTTGACCTTGGGCACCCCGAGGGCTACTACCAGCAAGTTTGTGTACCCAGGCAAGCACGAGCCTTGAAGGGCATCATCTACGGGCAGTTACATCACAAGAGGCATGCACCTGCCCCCAAGGTGGGCGAGAACCTCGACGAGAGCGACCATGCCACGGACACGCAGCCATCTGGTGGAGGAGAAGCCGGAGACCGTGTGGGAAAGGGCAAGGAGAAAGGCGACAAGGACGCCAAGAGAAAGAAGGAGAAGGACGACAAGAAGGCATACCCCGCTGGCAAACGTTTGAGGCCGAAGGAAGCATCAGACTCGGTCAAGCATGCACCACGGACCAAGGACGGGAAGCCAATCTGTTGGGACAGCGCGAGCCACATGGGATGCAGCAGAGGAAAGGATTGCAGTCATGCACACCAACCGATCACAACCACCAAAGGCATCCACTGGACTGTGCTGGCACAGCTGATCAGAAGGGGAGGTCTTCGCAACGGACCCATCATCCACCCCAACCAGGTCGATGGCCGCATTGCACAACTCCGGACGCAAGCCAAAGCTGAGACGGACGAGAAGATCAGCGAGGGAAGCAGTCAGAAGCAAGGATGGCTGCCCCCTAGTGAGTATGAGGACGTGCAATACACCCAGCTGGAAGAGGAGCTTCGAGAACTCACCAGAGGGCCAGACTATGGATGGCTCAGGGACTACCACGCGGAGGAGCTGAAGGTGAAGAATGTGTGGGACAGACGAGTTGACCACCCCGAGGCACAACGCCGCCTTGAGGAGTTGAAGAAGCTTGAGAAGGCAGGGAAGTTGGAGGGGATGGGAACATGGAGCCCATACCTACAATCACACGTCCGCAGCAGGATCTTGAACGCCCACATGGAGGGAAACACCTTGGACATCGACGAGGTACTCCTCGAGGCCACGGAGAAGGGCTGCCCGGAGCTCGCACAGGAGGCGGAGAAGGTCCTCAATGAGCAGCGCACAGTGGGATGGCAAGAGCAGGACCGACAAGCATGGATCGGAGCGCTCATATGGAGCAAGGAGAAGGGCTATGGAGAAGGCAAGTTCGAGTTCCAATGCGGTGGTGAGCATCAATGCTGGCGATACTTGGACTATCGAGATCGCCTACCGGTACCACCCGAGCTCGCGAGTGCACTCGGGATGCAGGAGGGTGAGGAGGAGGAGCGCCAATGCTTGGTCCTACACCCGGCAGCAGGGTGTCTCATGTGGGACAACAACTGGAACCCGGATGCGCCGCCCTCACTGGCAGAAGTTCAAGAAGCTGCACAGGCCTTGAGAGCGGAACTTTGGGATGATGCGGCTGGCGTGGTCAGTGAGCTTGGCGACCCAGCGCCGTGGATTGGAGCCCATGAAGCAGAAGTTCGGGGCTATGCACATGACGTTCTTCGAGCTCACCACGACAAAGATTACAGACTGTTCCAGGTCTTCGGGGGAGGTAAGCTGCAAGGCTATACGCTACAGTGCTGGCGCTGGGGCGTTGCCGAGTCGACCACCTCGTTGGAGCAAGCCCGGGAAGCGAGAACAATGTGATCCCCTTCTTAATCCATGGAGGCCACATCCGCCTACTGGTGCCAGCAGAGCGAGAAGGGGCAACAAAGCTAGCAGCGAGCCTGACATTGGCCGGTCTCAGTGACAGAGAATGGCATTGCGTCGGATGGCGTGAATACCTGGCCAGTGAGGACCCAGCAGCTCCCCTTGTACCTGGCAAGCGACCCAAGCGTGCACGATGCATGGGAGGAGGCGGAAAACTTGGAAAGGTCCTGCCCAATGTCCCATGGAGCTTTCAGGAGCACCCCATCGAGACCCAGGAACTCATCATGCTCGGCTCTGGAGGAGTACTCAAACGGAGGCCATCCTTTGCCTACGGCCCACGAGTCCAGGAGGTGTTTGCTGGCGCAGGGGTGTGGACGAAAGCGATGACGTCCGCAGGCATCCCGGCAAACCCACCGGTGGAGCTCTACACGGACCCCCTACGCAAGACTGGGAAGCGCAAAGAGTTTGACCTCATGGACGACCAAATCGCAGAGCACTATCTCCGAGCAGCTCAGGAGCTCCCAGGTCCAACGGTCGCGAATGTTTGGGAATTTGGCACCCCGTGTACAAGTTACTGTGACTTCAACAAGATCAACAACGGTACACGTACGTTCACAGAGCCTCGAGGTGTCAACCCAACAAAGACCGAGCAAGAAGGCAATCACTTTTGTGATTACACCTGCCGAGTATGCCTGGAGCTCTACAACCACGACAAGGAGTTCATCCTGGAGTCCTCCATGCCTTCGGGAAGATACCCCAAGATATGGGATCAGCCTGGCATACAGGAGCTGCAACAGTCCACGGGATCGCTCATCGTGCCAACCCACCTATGCGAATGGGGTGCACACCCCGTGGACAAGCCAGGGCTTCGCTATAAGAAGGGTCAGTGGAATCTCGTGACCCCAGGTCTCTACATCCATGCCCTCTTGCTGGCGCGCCGCTGCCAAGGCAACCATACTCACCTCGAGGTCAAGGGCGAGTCCGACATCCCAGGTGTTCCACGAACACGCCAGGCGCAGGTGTATCCTACAAAGCTGTGCAAAGGATGGGCCCTGGTTGTGCAAGCAGCATATAATGGCTGGGACAGCCCTAGAGTTGCAGCAGCTCTTCACAACCTGGATGAGGGCGAACAGCGAGTAGCGCAGGAAGACGGCCGCCCCCCATCACAGACCAAATGCGGCAGCCTCCCAGAGTCAGAATTTGTTGACGCGGCAGGCCTCCTTCAGGGAATACAGACCAGATGTGGAAGCATTGGCGAATCAGAATTCCGTGAAGGCCTTCACCACATCCCACCCGATGAAGAAAGCGATGGAGAAGAGGAAGGAGCTGGAGAAGTTGAAGAATATATGGTGGAATCGGCGGACGCACTCCAGGAACAGGCAGAAGAAGAAGCTGTTGGGCCAGCCACGGACCCCACCACGGAGCCTGAGGACGACGGGACGGGCATGCGCCTAGAACCCGGCATGCGGGATGAGCTTTGGAGCCAAAGGGTACCTTCCAGAGAAGCAGGCGCACCCCCCATTGACATCTTCGGGCCGCCAATGCCTCGGGAATCGCCAGTTGGGCAGACTGAGGATTGGTGGGAACTACTGGAAGCACAGCATTGCCTTGTTCGCCACCATGTGGTGAGGCGCAGGAATTTCTTCGGCAACCATCACGGAGAGTGGATCAATTGCCCGGTCGCCGACAACCAGATCCGCAGGGATCGGCGCACATGGATGTACCCGGTGATCGACAATGCCAACAACCAGGGTGACCGACCGCGATTGCATTCGAGGGTTTTCCTTGATGACTGGAGGTCCGAGCTTGATCGGCTGAGGAACTTCCCCGAGGCTGTCGAGGGCGAGTACGCCGAGTGGACTGGCATGACCACGTTCTACCTCTTCGACCTGGACGTCGACCTGTCGGGAACAATGACCAGATGGATTGCGAGGAGGAGGACTACGGCCCTGAGGAGAACTTGGACGAAGAATGGGGGACACTCCCGGTCCATGATGAAGAAGGAGGAGCCCTTCATTACGGCTTAGCCGGCAGCAGGGAGCGGGCTCGCATCTTCCCAACTGCAAGAGAGTTCAACCCTTCCGCAAGCAGCTCGTCAAGGGATCGCTCGAGATCAAGGAGTCCGCCCGATGGAGGAGACCGCCGGGTCGGCTACCTGGAAGCATCACCCCGCCTTGAGATGGAGGAGCTTGGCTACGCATGGAATGAAGACTTGGACACTGAGAGGCACTTCCGGCTGGAGGAGATGAAGGTTGGAGCCACCCTCACGGCCGCTGCGGAGGAGAAGGCGCTGGAATACATCAAGCATTGCAGGGCCCACCCCAAGTACAAGCCCGAGGTGGTCAGAAGAGCAGTCGAGATGGGAGACGAGCTGTTGGAAGCTGCCGGCTCGCTGGAAGGGGCCATGGAGGGACTGAGGCGGGCCAGAGAATCTGTCATTGGCCGGCCTACTGCTGGAGCAGGTGACCCTGAAGTTCTTGCACAGCTGGAGGAACCCCATGCGGCCTACATCCAGGAGATGAACGAGGTGGGCATCGACACCCGGCGCAAGTATCCACCCACAAGGCTCAAAGCTGAGGCCTACCCGTCCGCGCTCGAGCATGTTGACGAGATGTTCGAGAAGGCGTGGAAAGATGGCCATTGGGGGATTGTTCTCTTTGCCTCTGACGCTACGGAGAAGTTCACCCCCACGCTGATCGAATGCCCACAAGGAAGGGTGCCAAAGCAACTCCCAGACCGCAGCATCAGCAAGGAAGGGAGGCCTATCCACGCGATGATGACCGCGAATGCTGCCACCCACAAACACCAACATCCGCCAGCAGTCCAGCCGCGGCATCGTCAGATCGCAAGGAAGGCACTCTGGTGGAGCGCACGGAATCCTGGGGTGAGATGTCTCATGGCAAAGCTGGACGTCAGCAGGGCATTCAAGTGGCACACGGTCGACCCAAAGAAGTGTGCGGACTTTGGATCAGCCCTGCCGGGCAAAGCGGTTGGCATCGAGGGTCGCGTCAAGATGATCTATGGCGGCCTGCCCTTTGGATGGAGTGGCGCACCGGGGGAGTATGTCGCCTTTGCACTTGCAGGCCGGGCATACCATGAGTCCTTCGCGCCGCAGGAAGCCCAGACAAACGGGCCTACCCCTTTCAGCTCTGAGTGGCTCATGGATGATGGAGTGATCATCGAGCCCCTACTAGGAGTGAGGCCGTGGCAAGCCGTCGATGCTCTCGGGCACGCCATCAAGAAGATTTGGGGGGACGCAGCCTTGAACCTCGAGAAGCAGGTCGAAGAAGGGACACCTTCGGTCGAGCAGATCGTATGGGGGCTGCATATGAACCTTGATGCCATGACCATCAGGCTCCCAGAACCGAAGGCGTTGAAGATGAGGTATCTACTGGCGCTTCCCGAGCTACAACCTGGGGGACGATTGGTGAAGCTTCGCACGGCCCAGGAACTTCGTGGACTTGGCCAGTATGCCGCCATAACCATGCCTGCGCTGAGGACAGAGCTGTCAGTGATCGACGCTTTCCTCTCCCCGAGCAAATGTGAAGGTGGCTACATCAAACCCAACGTGACGGAGCCGGAGGAAGCGGAGATTGCCTGGCAGGGATGGGACGAGACCTTGAATCTCATGAGGATCTGGTTCGAAGCGCCGTATGAAGGCAGCTTCGAGTCCTCCTTGGAGAACTTGCTGAGCACCCGTGAGCTCCTCGCCCTTCCGGGGAGAGAGGGACGCTTGCGATGGCTAGGAGGCGATGCCACGCCCACAGTTGCCGGGACGCTTGACTGGAAAGCGAAGATCTACATGAGAGAGGACGCGGTCAGCATGCTTCGAGCCCTCGATCGAGTACCCGGACTTCAAGGGGACGTCAAGGTGAAGATCGCCCTCGCGGAATTGATCTGCTATGTAGGATTTGCCGCCTCGCAGGGACCCAACTGGCAAGGAGAGATCGTCGCCTACACCACGGACAACCAGAACGTGAGATCGTGGTTGACCAAAAGGCAGACCCGGTGTGCCGTGGCCAGGCACATCATCCGCATCCTCGGCATGTTGGAGGGGCGCTACGGCTTCAGGACCCTGGCCTTCTATATCCGGACCTACCACAACGTAACAGCCGACTGGATCAGTAGAGAAACCAAGAAGGCGGTGGAGGACAAGATGGAGCTGGACGGCTGGGTGAAGGCCGAAGCTCAAGAAGATTGGGAGCACTACATCCAGGAGTCCATTGATGGGATCTATCGCTGGCCAGGAGGTGATGCATTGGGACAATCAGACACGAAGATGATCAACCCGACCGTGACCTACGCAGCAGTGGAGGCCAAGGGAGTTGCGGTGGAGATCGGGCGCGGGCGACTACCATGGGCCATAGCCTGGCAGCGCTTGGGCGGCGCCACCAAGGGCATCGGGGGCAAACCAAATCGCGGGGAGGAAGCTATCGAGCACCTCACGCTTGGCTCGATGGAGATTGTCAAAGTGGAGGAGCAGATCACGTGGGCTTTCGCCTCAATTGCCGAAGACAGTTGGGGAGGGAGTCGAGCCATGTTGACGAACTTCGTCCGCATGTACCACCCCGAGAATGTGTTGGTCGACTTCCCGCTCAAAGGGCCCTACAAGGAGACGGAGGAGATCTTGAAGCGGCTGGGATACACCTGCAGCATGATGCAGTGCAGAACCACTGACTATGGAGACCCAGTCGCCAAGAGGAAGGAGATCCTGATCGCCTGGGACGCCGGCATGGAAAGGGAGCCGCCTTTGGAAGTCCCACGAAGTGCAGGTGAGGCTTGCAGCATCTACAAGACCCTGGAGGCAACCGGGGAAGTGGCACCACCCAGGTGGTTGGACGAGTCAGTTGAGATTCGCCTCAATGCGAAGATCTCGACCACTGGTGACCGAATGCTCCCATGGCCAGCGGGACACTATGCGGTGGACAACGAGAAGCAGCTGCTCTACGACATCAGGGGACCCGCCCTGACGGCAAAGAAAGGCTTTGACATGGTCGTCATCGATCACCGGGGTGAGAAGACCCAGGGGCGCATCATTCACCCAGCTGAAGAATGGCTGCTGAATGGAGGAAGGGTCGAGGAGCTCCGGCTGTTGAAGGAGAACGGCACCAACGAAGAGGAACTACGGCGAGATGCCATGAGGAAATGCCCGCAACAGACCTGCCACCGGGTGATCGCCTGGCTCGAGAGGTGGCGCCAAAATCCCAACCTGGTACAACGGGTGGGGGTCTGCAGGGATAGAGACAGAGCCGCAGCCGACGCCCAAGTCCGGGCCTGGATGCTGGCGTGGAAGGGCAATCGAGAGCACCCGCAACGAGAATATGAACGATGGCTGAAAGATCGTGTTGGAGATTGTGAACGTGTTGGAGGCCGACCCCGTGGGTCCAAGAACCGGTCGAAGTCCGCACCGCCTGAAACACTGGTTCACCCAGTGGCCATCGGGAGAAGCAGGGAGAAGATTTGCCTCGACGCCAACCGTGATCTGGAGAAGGACATCGCTTGGCTAGACGCGCTCGCTGCAGAGGCAGTGATGTCGAAGCTGTCGGAGGGTAGCCTCAGAGTTCCTTGTCAGTGCAGGGCGGAGCTGGGGCACTACGCGGGTTCTCAAGGGCTCCAATGTTGAGGGCAGGAAGGACAACAAGCAGGTGGCAACGCTTCACCATGCAGAAGAGGTGGTGATCTACCTGTCTGGATCGAAGACCGACCAGTTCAACCAAGGAGCAGTGCGCAATCAGTTCCGCAGTGGCTCAGACTTGTGCGTGGTGAGCGCTTTGGCCGCCTACCAAGCATTATGCCCCGAACGCTTCGCTGGAGCCGAATCGGAGATGCCACTGTTCCGATACATGGACGGCAAGCCAATCCCACGAACCGACCTGCAGGGCCTCATACAGCTAGCTGCAGTCGCTGATGGACAGGCATCTACACGCTATGGTTCCCACAGCCTGAGGATCGGGGGAGCGACAGCACTCTACCAATCGACCCACGACCTTGAAGTTGTCAAACGGTTCGGTCGATGGAATTCGGAAGCGTTCCATGCCTACCTGTGGGAGACCCACGAGAAGCAGAGGGACTTAGCAAAAGGGATGGCGAAGGCTGATGGCCAGCTCTTGCCACCCAGAAAGGAGAAGATGGCCTTTGAGGAGCACTCGAAGAAGGGCAAATCCAATGTCGAGCACAAAAAGGAGACCAAGAAGGAGGATAACTTCGACTTCGGATGCCACGCCCAGAAGCTCGAGAACAAGCACCAGGCCATCAAGATGGAGGACACGGCCACAGAGCACGGGTTGCACAAGACGAGTGGTGCATCCACGGCAAAAGGAAGTGTCCTTGTGAGTGTTGGCAACCGCTCGTGAAAACATGAGAGTTTGAGCGAAGGGAAAACGCAAGGTTTTTGAGAGCTGCGTGCCTTCGCTGTAGCTTTTGGGGATCAGGCCACTCCCGGCCCCCCCCACCCGTGGCCACAGAGCACGGGTTGCACAAGACGAGTGGTGCATCCACGGCAAAAGGAAGTGTCCTTGTGAGTGTTGGCAACCGCTCGTGAAAACTTGCAGTTCATTGCAGTTCATGTGCTGCCTTTGATTCGCACTTGTGCCTTTGGCAAGTTTGCCACCCGTGGACACCCTGCGCTCTCCTACCCAACTCATCTATAAAAGCTAAACTTCTCAGCAACAATGAAGTAACTGGTATGTAACTCGAATTCGCTGCATTCAGCATGGAATTGTGAATTTTGACATTGCTTAGAATGAAAGATAATGCAAGAACTGTTTGTTGAGTTGAGTGATTGCTTCTCGGTTTCGTGAATAGTCAAGGAGTGTGGAACCTTTCGCTCCCAGGTTTGACCCCAACGCTGGGCAGACGCAAAAGGCTGCAATTTCGTGAGTTACGCTTTTTGATGTACTCTTCTTGGGTGAGTTGCAAATCGCCTTGATGGTTGATTTCTTCCTTCATATGGCATGCATTTGTGTATTGTTAAGCTTTTGTAAACGGCTGAATGACAAGGCAGGTCATACTCCTTTTCTGTGAACATGTTGTTCACATGATGTGACCCTTGCGACATCATGTTTTGGGGAGAGGCCCACATAAGGAAGCCATCTTGCTGTTCTCGTTGTTGCTTGGGTTTTTTAATGTTTTTACTTTGATCAGAAGATATTTTTGCAGCATATAGGTATTTTTGATGCGGTCGGTCGGTCGATTTGCTGCTTACTTAGTGGCTGGGCTGGCTGGGCTGGCTGGCATGATGTTGCGTTGCTTCTGCAACTCCTGATTGCAGGTAAAGGTGCCATTTGATTCTTCAGCCAGGATGCCCAAGATTCACTGCAATGAGTCCACATTCTCGAGTCCGAGTCTAGTGGCCCAAGGGTGCACCAGCTCCACTGGACGACGATCAGAATATGTCCTGAACTGGTAGATATTTTAGCCTGCTTTGATGCTGTCGCACCACAGAGCATAGTTGTAGGGACATGAGAATTGAACAACCAAGGACGCTACTAGGGGCTCCTGGCCTTACTACTAGGAGCAAGGACGGCTCCTGGCCGTACTACTAGGAACAAGAAGCTACTAGTGAGAATTGATGATTTGAGTGGCTACGCAAGTGTTTGGCTCCGGCTCACGTGCGTGCACTGGCTCCCGCGGGCACAAGCAGGCGACCAGAACATGCACTTGAACCCCGTTTTGTGCTGGAATCCCTCGAGGTTTTGCAAAGCGCATCGTCAAACCTTCATGTTAAAGGAGAGCTAGGTGTAACAACGTTGCAGGGCCTTCCGAGTCAATTTGTTGCTTGAAACCCTTCGCAGCCTTTGCATGCTTCCTTTGCTTGGCGTTTTGGTTCCGAGTTCGATTCAATGCTTACTTATATGATGAGTGTCCACAAGTTACCCCAAGCATCTAGGAACCAAATCATAAAGCCTGAGACCTTTTGCGTCCTAGAAAGTACTCGTAGCTTCCTGAGCTACTACATACCCCATATTGGCTACTTAATCTTACTGCGGCCTCCCCTCATCGTTTCAAGCTGCAGCTATCGCTTTGTGTGACAGCGGATTCCGAAGGCGTGGAGCATGCGCAGCCACAAGAAGATCGACCGGCGAAATGAACGGCGAGAGAGGAAAGAGATCATGCTCAACACGTTGCTGGGCACTAGTGTTGTCCAGTCTTGCCAAGATCTATACTCAAATTGTGATAAACAACTTGCAAGTAAGGCAATTATATGAATGTGATTGGAGTATTTATTCTCACAGCATCAGATATTTTTTTGCAGAATTTGTCGCGCTGGGTCTCAGGTTTCTGCGATCCCACAGGTTCGGAAGAGATGCTTGGCCGAAGCTTGAAGATTCACCTAGATGGCCATTTGGTTGGAGGCCATCGCTTCTAAGTTTTCAGGCTTCTCGTCGTCTTTATGAGCCTCCTCATCTCAGAAAAGTACCAGCACGATCGGCTGGCTCAGACATGTGACCATACTGTAGCAGATTGTTTTGAGGCCATGTGTGAAAGAACCATATTCATAGCAAGCAAGTTTGTGGAAACTCAAATGGATCTTATATATTGTTTTGAGATGTTTTGATACTGAGTAGGAGCAAGGACGCTACTAGTAGCTCCTGGCATCGCTACTAGTAACAAGGGCATCGGTACTAGGAGCAAGGACGCCTCAGCCACCAAAGACACGCTACTCGAAGCAGTCGTCGAGATCTCAAGACCATTGACTGCTACTTTGGGTTATGAAGCGTCCTAGTAGCGATGCCAGGAGCTACTAGTAGCGTCCTTGCTCCAAGGTGTTGGAAGGTTCTGTTCCAAAAAGGCGCTCCAAAAGAATCATGCACTTCTCACTCTTTGATGCTGTTTGGATACTTTTTTTGGAGCCACATTTTTAGCCTCCCAGCCGCAATGGCAAGGAACACATGACGAACACCTGTGGAACACCGGACCCCCATACTGGCCTACCCACTGGATTGCCTCAGGCCTCTTTTTAATCTTGGGCAGTGCGTAAGGTGTGGGCCAATGCAGAAAACTCAATAGAGCAGATACATACTGTAGGACAAATAGAAAGTAAGGGCACCTTTGTTTCCTTCATTTGTTCAATATATAACTGTATTTTTGGGGTGTATATTCATTCATTCAAGGTAGGCAGGGTCGGTGATGAGGAATTATTTGATGTCATTCAGTTCACTCACTCCTTTCAGCTTGAGGCTCAAGCCAAAAAGGAGTGTCGCTCCGTGTGAATCAGGGTCGCTGATTCGCAAGATTCTTTTTGTGTGCGAGCCATGGCTGACGCAAGTGCTCGACGCGCGGCTGAGCAGGAGAAACTGAATACCTGGTGTGCCAGGATGGGGATTCAGAGTGCCAGCGACTTGGCTTTTTGGCTTACCTCCTACGAGGAAGCTCTTCGTGAAGCCGGCCGCGCAGTGGCAGACGGGTGGGATCTCGCTCGCTGTGAGAGCGAACCGGGGATGGCAGCCCTAGTTTGGCACCTTTTTGCGAGAGAGACCGTTCGCCAGTCTCGCCCGCCACAACCCTCCAGTATTCCGGCTCCTTCATTGCCTTCGTCTTCGGTGGCACGTCCAAAGCCGTCTTCATTTGCTGGGCCTGTTAAGCCAAAGAAGCAGCCAGCCCAGTCGGCCGGTGCGAAGGGCGGAGTCGCTGCCTTGTTCATTCGTGATTTGTTGGGCATCATGGTGACGTTGATGCCTCCGCCACAGGCCAGACAAGATGAATACATGGCCAATTGGTCCTCCCGCTTGGAGAAGCTATGCGCCCGCACTGAGGCGGCCACCATCAAGCGCGTGGTCCATACCTGGAAGGACTTGGTGCGCTATATGGACCATTTGGGCTTGAAGTTCCCCGACTCCCACGCATTGGCCACCTTCGTCAGGGAGCACCACGGTCCTACACGTGTTTTTACATCCCTGGGCTGGATGATCCGAAACCTTCGTGTACCACTGGATTTGAGTGAAGCTTCCAAGCCTGCTCCGGTCCGGAGGGATCCTGGAGTACACGGCCGAGCACGCTCACTGGCCTATTCTGATGGCTGCTGCTGCCATGGTGTTTGGGCTTATTCGCTTTTGCCACGTGCAACGGAGCTACCTTATTGGTGCGAACTCCGCCATCCTCATCTTCTGGTGGACCCGGGATGGGTTCGCCTGGTCGATTCCTCGGCAGTTGGGCAGCCTCGACCTCTATGCCATTTGGAAACGCCAGTTGGACAAGGTCCGTCCAAGACATGGCGAGGGGTTTCGTCGTTGGCACTATTTGGCCTTCGACTCTGACACAGGTGTCCCCGTGTCGATTGGGCAGTTCTTTCGAGTGGTTTGCCCCTATTTTGATGGCGTCCTGGATGTGCAGAACCTCAGCTCGTGTAGCTTCAGGAGGGTGGTGCCCACCTTAGCAGGTATTGTGCGGCTCACCGATACCGAGCGCCTTGCTATTGGCCAATGGACGGACGCTGCGGGTGGCAACTCTACAGCGCAGACTCCATTGCGATACGATGCCCAGAAACAAAAGCAAGGCCACCAACTCCGGCTTGCTGCTGCTTTGTTCCTGGCCAGTGCACCCGAGGTTCTTTGGGAAGAAATCAAGACAACATCCGCTGTGGAGCGATGGTCCGAAGCTATGGTAGCCGCGGACGAGTTGCTGTCCGAGAGCCCCAAGGTGGTCCGCGTCTCGTCTGAAGACATCCCTGGAATGCCTATGGTGAAATCGTTGTTGCCGGCATCCTTGGCGGTTATCCGTACAGCTGGAAAGAAGATTATTCGGGTTTTGCGCAAGCGGGCAGCTGCTACAGCCTTGCCGGGACCTTCTTCCTCTCCATCGCTGCCGAAGCCTACGGTGTCTCCGCGACTGGCGCCCAAGCAGGACGAGCCTCCCCTGCAGAGGCGACGCCTCCCTCAGAAGACGGCGGCGCCGGCTGCGCCTGAGCAGGTGTCTCCTGCCCACGGTGGATCAGCCCACCCCTGCCAGGGGCGCGGGGACTCCGGCGGTGGCTGTCAAGAAGAAGCCGCAGCCACCGGCTGCCAAGGCTCGACCTCCGCCGCCGGCGGGGCCGCTCAACGAGGTCTCCGATGCGATGTTCGATATCGCCGCTCGTGAACGTTGGGCACGACCTGGACACAGTGGACAACTAGAGCCTCCTACATTGGTCTTTTGGGGCGCCGACGGCCACGGGTCGCTCTACCTTGCTGGTCTGCCGAAAGACCCTCGTTGGGTGCGAGGCAACGATATTGGGTTGATTGCATCTGCTATGGAGAAAACCGCCTCTGAGTGTCCTGGCGGAGTGGCACAGCGGGATTGCTTTCAATTGGCGCGAAACGTGATCAGGCCTTGCAGGATATCAAACAAGCGGCCTTCACTACCCTTGCTGCCGGGTTTAACGTTCTGGTCCAGTGTGAGGCCGGGGTGCACAGGGCACCGATCCTTGGATGCCCGTCGTGGTTGCTAAACCTCTGTCTCATTTACTACGTCTTTAGCCTACATATAAACACATTTAGCACTCGTTTGCGCCACTTAGCTAAACATGTTTATACCACTTCTGTAACCATGTTTAGCGCCTTTGTAACCATGATTAGATAAACGCGATAACCAGGACTAACCCTGAAAATATGAGCCCGCATATGGGCTCTTTTTGACATTCCGCGTCGCGTTTTTTTCGCGAAAGCGCGAGCTCTGCGTGCGCCCTGCGCTATGCGAGCTCTTGCAAGAAGCCCTGCGAGTCCTGGCCGTGGCGGAGATTTCCGGACACCGGCGCCACGTCGTGGAGGCAGGGCGCCACGTTTTGGAAAGCCGCGCTGATCAGAGGCAGGGCCTGCTCTTGCGGCTCGCGTATTTTGTGACCACGCAGGGCCAGCAACGGCTCGCTTCAAGGTATATAGATCTTTCTCGGATCCACAAGGCACATCGACCAGGACCACGGTGATCACCTGGCAGAAACGAGCGATCGAACGATGGAACGACGAAAGGAAATGACGAGACTCGATCGAACGGTGCACTGCACAGAAAACATGAAGTTCCTGCGTGTAAAAAAGGAGGCCTGTCACGCAAGTGGGTTGCAAAACGTCAGGTTCCATGTCAAAAAATGAAGCCTGTCATGCAACATGGGTGCAATCTTTTCAAGGGATCACGGTTGCCACGTCTCCACCGACATAAAACGGGATTGCCTTTTGAAGGCTTTCTGTCGGCACCAATTCTGGTGCCTCAGTCATTCGGAACTGATTGGGGCCTGCAGGCTTCCACTTGGAAACGACTGAGTGAAATGAAGCGCCACTGACTTCTGATACAACCTGCAAATGGAACCAGATCTCAACCATGTGCGCGCTAGCCTGCGCACAATCTCCACGCGACACGTTCTCATAGTTGCAAAGGGCGTCGAAAGAAACAAACACTTCAAAGCTCGAGTCCAAAGTGTGGCCAAGGTTTCGTTGCAGCTCCATGGTCAACTCTGCAGAAGCTTTCAAGGGATTGTGAAGCACTACCCCAGACTTGCAGTCCCATTCGATTGTCTCCAGCAGCTGCGCCAAGACCACCTCTTCTAAGATGCCCCTCTCCCACGAGACTTTCCTGTTGGCGTTCGTGCTGTGATTGCCATGTCTTTTGAGCTGTCGGTGCTTCCTTTCATGCGCCCAACAACTCGTCAATTGGCCGTCTCGGGCCAGAAACGACGGCAAGTGAAGGCTATAGTGAGCCTTGGGTTGCATACACGCCGGTCCGTACGCGGCCAGGCGATCGCAAAGGTGACTCTCAATGCGTTGCCGCAACTCCTCAGTATTTCAAGTTTATATCTATAATATTTTGTTGCGTTTACTCTTTGTTTAAAACTCGGCATGACTTACAACGGTTTCGTTCCAAACGAGCAACTGTTTGTCAGATGCCCTGTCAAAGCGTGGCAACACAAGGAACACACCATACTTCTTTAGACTTCGAATGAAAGCTGAAACCGTTCCAAACGAGCAGCTGTCTGTCAGTTGCCCTGTCAAAGCAAACCCAATCACAGTTTCACAACTTTTCCTTTCACAGTGAACCCCCTGCACACCCTTCAATCAATTATCAAGAAAATTGACACCAAACACATCTAAAAATAGTGGTCAAACGTTGAAGGAACCGTGTCAAGAGTCAACGGGCGAAATGCTCTCTGATCGGGTCCCCTGGAGAAGATCCAACACCGCAGCCAAACTGTAGTAAGACCTGATGGCCTTGCCTGCTTCTCCAACAGATGATGGAACTTCAGTCATCAACCAGGCCCTGATACACGGGTATAGCGACAACCCTTCAGAGGCTGAGCAACTCAAAGGTCCATCTTTCAGCTTCTCAACAGCCCTGATGCC